AATCCACGAATTACGGTTTGAACTGCTTGACCATCCACCTTACTCACCAGATCTAGCCCCAAGCGACTTCTTTTTGTTCCCTCATCTAAAAATTGCGCTCGGAGGACAGAGATTTTCGTCAAATGAAGAGGCAATCACCTTCGTGAACAATTATTTTGCAGAGAAAAACGCCGAGTACTATTTCGACGGGTTACAGAGATGGGAGCATCGCTGGGAGAAGTGTGTAGATTTACAAGGAGACTATGTTGAAAAATAAAAAACAATTTTCAGAAAAAATGACTTGTATCTTTGTTAGGTCGGAAACTTTTCAGACCACCCTCGTATATTAAAAGTATTTAAATATTCGTATTTGAAAACCAAAGTAATAAGAATGTTTAGAGTTAGGTACCAGTGTTATTAGTGTTCAGGCGTTGTACACGGAGAAAATGTAGCAAAAATTACGTGAAAATTACATTCCTCTTTCCAACGTTTTTTTTGTAAAGCTGAGCTATATTGAAGTTGCAATATAAACGAGTATAGAGATAATAAATCTGACGATATACCTGAAGCGCTTGATATAAAAAAAACATTCAGTAATTACAATAATTTTGTAGTAAAAGGTAAAAACGTGCAACATTTTGAAACATATGTAGTAATTCCGATAATTCGGTATATTCGAAGATTAGAAAAATTTTGTTCCAATTTCCACTGAAATATTTTTCCCGTGCATACTTTTATCTTAATTGACATTCTATGCTTCATAAATGCCGTACCTGAATTTACGGCTTTGCTCTCAAAGTTCTGTCGGGAAACTTGGTTCACATCAGGTGCAGTTCTCTTATCTCGTTTATCGAACTGTTCGCCTGCTCTTTCACCCCCAGCGACGTCGACATAGGCCGAGGATGACTTTTGTTTCCCAATAATCGGTAAAAGGAGCACCCGCACGTGCGCAGCCGCGTTTTACCGAGTGTCGATTGTTCACCACTGCGGCGTGCACACGTCAATTCTGATTTCCCCGTTTTTCCGACGTTGATCCTCTACGCGCGATCGAAGGCGATTTATACCGTTCGATCTTACACGGCATGGCTTATACCTATCACCAGTAACGGCAGAACGTGTGACCGGGAGGAAGCGAGGGTGTTAGACATCCTGTGACAATAGAGCCGGCCCGCAGGTATTGGATTATTCAATGTCGACGTTATGGGAAAGCAACGGACGAGCCCGTATCCACAACCCTCGTCGATCGACCTTCCTTGGATCGCGTGCGCGCGCGCACCATATTGCCTGATTACTGTCGCGACCGCTCAAATACGTGCTGTCTGGCTCAGAGAGACGTCGGCCAGTATTTAAGCAGCCCACGGGACGATTTTGGAGGAGGGCGACCGGGCAATCAGGCGCGCTAATGCCAATCAATTATGTGCCGGTAGCCGCCGTGCCCTACGGCCCTCCTGCGGTGTCCTTGATGCCGCCGGCGTTCGCTGGGTGGTCCTTTATCAACAAGGCGACATCCGGTGGTGGGCTTCGCGTATTAGTTATCGATTCCAGCCCGGTTACACGATCGGCAGATCGATAGCAGCAGCAGCATCAGTGTGCCACGTCGACGCCTCGGTGCCGCCAATGTACGAAGCCGCCGCTGCTGCGCGTTCACCTGCTGCGTCGTGATCTCTGCGAGTGACACGTTCACGCACGAGACGCTGGCCGGAAGATGGAAAGATCAACTGTGTCGTCTGCTGGTTATCCTGCCGGCGGCGGCGATATTTAATTGGCAGCTCCGAATCGATCCTGGCGCGCGCGAGTCGAATCTATGATTTCAGCAAATAAATAGTCGCTGATTGATGAAAATCACAATTTGATCGCTATCGATCGCGCGGCGTAACTAGGTGTTTGGTGTTAAAGCTCCATCCGGCTCAGTTTCATGTCACGATGATAGGGGAGCGCAGATCAACCGTGGCATCTCGGGTTTCCACGGTGACGTGTTCAATCGAAAATTTTCAATACAATCGATTTCTGCCCGACGCGCGTGCTTTATAATGATAATAAATAGTCGGCGAGGTTGGCGCGCGGAATTGTTCGTCAATTAAAATTGACCATCTGCCGGGCGCGTTTAACAGTAAACTCGCTCGCGATTTATATCATGCACAACGGACAAGCCAGATTTAATTCGCCGATTGTCCTTTCAACATTCTGCCGCCGGTGAGGCCAGCGCAATTCCACGAGTGTCAACCTCGTTAGAATATATAATGAGAAACAGAAACAAAAATTTCACACGGGCGTCTAACAGGAAATTCTGTCACGTTTGTCATGCGTTTGTCAGAAATTTAACTTTCGCTCATCCTCTCGCTTTTTCATTTACCAGGGAGGGCACGAAGTGAAGTTTCACAAAGGTCTTCATTGGCATCGGAAGTGATTCGCCGAAGATAAAAATGCAGAACTTCGCACCGTCGATTCTGTCAACGGTGGAGTTTCGTGTTCTTTAAAACGATAAAATATTGACGGAGGAAAAGTTGATGATTTCAGCGGATGCGTGAGCTCTTCTGAGACCTCCTGAAAAATGTTTATCGTTTCGATACCTTACGACTGACCTTTACTCACACCTTCCGCGCGAAATCCTGACATATCGACGTTACCGCGCCCGCTCGCGCGCGTTTCATATCGCAGCTTGGACAAATATTGCCCCCATTGTATTCCCGATATTTACACTCGCATAAATCGCGTGCTCTATCGTTCGAATCTGTCGCGAAACGGAACGCCCGCTCGCGCTTTCTCTCTCTCTCTCTCTCTCTCTCTCTCTCTCTCTCTGCCGGCGCGAATAGTTCGGCATCGCATTAATTAGCGCGCCGGCGATCGCCGCGCGTCCGAGTAGAATTTATCGATTGGTGATCCATGACCCTGTGATCGGCGCGTGTCATTTAATTAACGATCCGATGGGATATTTAAGCGCCGCCGCCGGTAATCCAGCGAAGCGAAGCAACGTTTATGGATTTCCCCGGGCACATCGCGTCGTGATCAACCGGCCGAACGAGTTGTATCATTATTTAGGAGCGCGGCCGTTCGTGCTGGGCACCTCGTAAAGCTGGATATTGCATTTTATGAACAGCGGCGTGCCCCGCGAAACGAAACGCGGGAAGCACGCCGATCGCGCGCGCGCGCGCGCGGCGTTTTCATAACGGAAACAAAAACGCCGCGAAAAAATACTCAAAACCGCCGTGAAAAACGCCGACCGATATCGTCGCCGAATTCCACTTTGGGCGCCCACTGTGTGTTCCCCTGTCACCCTGTAACGCCCTGTCATTTGGCTTAATGTCGTTCATACTGCGTGTGCCGTCGCGCTTAAATCGTCGATTTATTTTATTTGCCGTCGGATGCAATCGATTTCCGGTTGGCGTCCGCTATCGTCGCTTTCGATCCTCTTGCTGGTCAACCGTGTTAGACGATTATAGCAGTTACCTCTCTACCTGTTGGACTGCGTGTAGCTCCTGGGGCGCACATACGCTGTGCGGCATATGCAGTTCGATCGAATCGTGCCAATTTCCTTATTTGGCACCAACTTACGTTTCAGTGCATTTGGCTGCTCATTGATATTGACATGAGCGGTGATGCAACTTACGATAGGTCAGTTCCCATCATGATTTCATACTTTTTCATTTCTCTTAGATGAAAGAAGCATCATTGTCGTGATTTACGAAAATAGGTCAGCTTTCGTGAAGATGAGATATTTTATACTATGTATGTATTTCGCAAAAGAGAGATGAAAGAAACGTCACTGTCGCAATTTTTACTATTTCCTTAGTATACTTCCCAATTTCCTTATTCGGCACCAATTTACGTTCCAGTATTCAACTGACATTTCCACCAGGACACTGTGATACAACTTGCAATAGGTTAGTTCCCATGAAAATTGGATTTTTTTCCATTTTTCATTTTCTCATTAACAAAGGATGAAAGAAGCATTAGTAACGTGACGGAACCTTCTGTAACCATTCTTCGGAGGTAGCATGGATAATCCGTGATGATACTCTCAGGATTTTATTAGTATCGACCCCCTTATTCGTTAAGTATCTTAGCCTCAGTATTGGAGATAAGTCTTGGGAGGATGACTTCTCGAAAGAATCGACACCATCACTTTCACTCAACCCCAATCCTTTTCACGGGAGTTGGGGAGAAGAGAGAGAAGGAGAGACCGTGCAGATCTGTCTGCACGGTAGTATGCAGTTCAGTAAAATATTTAATTGTAGGGGATGGTAGTATCAGACCAAGTATCACGTACGAGGAATTCGGGTAGGAATTCGTGCCGCGC